GGCGCCGCGCTGCTGCGTGACGCCCGGCGGGCGATCGCGAAGGTCGAGGTCGCCGAGCGGTTCAAGCTGGGGCTCGACCGGGGCGTTTGGCGGCCGCTCGCCCCGGCGCTGGCCGCGCTGCTGATCGCGACGCTGGTCGGGAACCGCACGGCGCAGGCGACCGTCGAGCCGTCGCCAACCGAGCAGGTCGCGGCCGACGAGGCGAAGAAGGCCGCCGAGGAGGCCCGCAAGCAGCTGGCGAAACGCCGCCAGGAGGCCGAGGAGAAGGGGCTCGCCGACGCCTCGGCGCTGCTCAAGAAGGTCGAAGAGGGGACGGCCGNNAGAAAGAAGCCAAGGACCCCGCCAAGGCGGCCGTCAAGCTCAACGACCTGTCACGAGAACTCGCCGAGCGACGTGACAAGCTCGGTGGGGGCGACGAGCTGCGCAACCAACTCAACCGCATGAAAGACATCGGTAAGGGCCCCGCCGACAAGGCCGCCGACGCCATGAAGCAGGGCGATTGGCAGAAAGCGATGGACGAGATCGCGAAGGTCCGCGAGCAGCTCGCAGGCGGGGACCTCCCGCAGGAGAAAAAGGACCAACTCGCCGCGCAGCTCGGCAAGATGCAGCAGCAACTGGGCGAGGCGACTCAACAGCACCAACAGCAGAAGCAGGACCTTGAGCGGCAGCTCGCCGAGGCCCAGCGACAGGGCGACCTCAACCAGGCCGGCAAGCTCCAGCAGAAGCTCGACCAGCTCGGCATGAAGCAGCCGCAGATGGAACGCTTGCAGCAGCTAGCGCAGCAGATGCAGCAGGCGAAAGAGGCGATGGAAGCGGGCGACCCGCAGCAGGCCGCCGACGCGATGCAGCAGATGGCCCAGCAGATGGACCAGATGGCGCGCGAGGATCAGGAGATGCGGATGCTCGACGCTGCGATGGCCGACATCATGGGCGCCAAAGAAGCGATGGGAATGGAAGCGGGCGACAAGCCTGGCGACCAAGCCGGCCAAATGGCGGGCAATCAGCCCGGGATGGGGCAGGAGGGCCAAGGCCAGAACCAGCCCGGCGCGAATGGCCGCGGAATGGGCCAGGGACGCGGCGATGGCTCGCGCAACACCGAGAAGGACAACGTCTCCTACCGCGACACCCAGGTCCGCCAAGACGTGGGCCGCGGCTCGAGCACGTTCGGTGGCCTGGTCGATGGCCCGACGGTGAAGGGGGACGTCGTCGAGTCGATCAAGACATCGCTCAACGCTTCCGACGCTCAGCCGGCCGACCCACTCACCAGCGAGCGGCTCCCGAAGTCACGCCGCGAGCACGCCGAGGAGTACTTCCGCGGCCTGCGGGACAAGCTTTGAGCTCGTTTCGGTTTGCTAGCTTCCTGGACGGCACGCCCCTTGCCAGCCTAGATTGCCCAGATGGCTGCCCAGCAGGGGCCGGCCCGCTAGCGTTAATCCCCCAGGCCTTCCTGATGTTCCTGATCCGCAATCTGACGCTCGCCCTAAGCGTCGTTATCGCCCC